CTCCATGTGAAACATTGTCTGCTACGCGTAATAATAATAACGTAAATCTAGATGGTAAAATGTGGTGACCCACCCTGTATATGTGTATTTACTAAATTAGTATATATATGTATGTATGTAAATCAAAATAATAACTAATTAAATATTAAAGAAATCTAAATATTATTTTATATACAATTATAATTTCGATATATTTAATTTCTCAATGTTTGCATAAAATATTTGGAAAAAATCAGTCATCATAATTGAAAAAAAAAAAGATAAAAAATATATATTAAGGATAATTTAATTAAAAAAATAATTTGATAATATTTAAAAATTAAAATTTATTTTTATTCTAGTTCATTTTGTTTAATTTATATTTTTTCTTTTTAAATAAAAACTAAAAATAATGAAATTGCCTTTAAAAATATACCGCAATTTTTATTATTATTATTGTACACATGCTAAAGGTCCGTTCGATGCAAGTATATAAATTTATATTTTTCTTATCATTTAAAACGTGACGTATAATATAAAATAGAGTAAAAAATTAGAAAACTTCATTATCTTAACTTGTAATCGATTAAAATTTAGTTTAAATGTGAAAAGAAATAAAAAAAAAAGAAAAGAAAGAAAGAGAAAAAGAAATCTTTTTTTTAAATCTCATTACTGTAATATCATTAAAGGTTAACCTACGAGAAGATACCAACGTAAGAAAAATTGCTATAACACATTTAGATTATTATTTTAAATTATAACATTTGACGCACGCAGTAAAACATAATTATAATATGTGCATTTTTATTAAATAAAAGAAGTAATACGAAAGAAATTATCAAAAACAAAAAAAAAACAAAAGGAAAAAAAGAAAATAAAATAATGAAGGATTCATTCGAAGGAAACAAAGGAAAATATATATTCGATTGTTAGGTTATGTTAGACTAAGTAACAATGAAGTAAACATTCTTGTAAGTTATAATCGAATATTAAACGAATAATCAAATATTAACATAGTAATATTAGTAATGTAAAAATAAGTTAATCATTGGACATAAACAATGAACGCTGATACGTCGAGTTTGGGAGTAATATAATAACGTTTTTCATGGATTATTCGTAACAAAGATAGTTTCGTGTACGCGTTGATCGCCATTTTGCTTCTCTCACATCTGACATGTCTCTTTTGTAATGTTATTATCGATGAATATTATTATTCGTGCGTGATAAATTATATTGGAAAGAAAAATCATTTATTTAATGGTGTAACACGTATACAAGAAGAAAGTTCAAGTTTATTAAGATTGGACGATATATGGTCTATCATCATCATCATCATCATCATCATCATCATCATTATTATTAGAGATAATAATAATTCCGCACGGTACTTAACGAATATTTGATCTATAATTTAAATATACGTAAAAAAAGAAGCTCCCCTTTACGAACCTAAAGAATTACTAAGAAGACAGATAGAAAGAAGAAAAAGAAATAAACAAATATATATATTTATATACATATATATATATATATATGTATATATATATATATATATCTTGTATACAAGACATTTAACGTGCGCAATCGAAGTTTAATTAATAAGTTTTTTCTTCGAGACGAGATTTCTTTTCTCCTATTTTTTTGTTAACGTTAAATATGTGAACGAAAAAGATCGATTTGATGATACATATATAGATTCTTTCTTTCTTTTTTTTCCCTTTCTTCTTTTTCTCTTTTTCTTTCTCTCTCTTTCTTTTTATCTATATAGATATATATACATATATATCTCTCTCTCTCTTTTACGATTTCTTATAAACAACAGTTGAAAATTCAATTTGTACGGTGTTGCTTGATCGTTTGTCAATGGAAGAAAAGAAGACCGAACATAACCTAATATTGTTGACCTCCAACATTGTGTGTGCATCTACTGATTAATATGCCATCACCGAGGAAAATAATACTGTTATTAATATGATTATTAAATAATCGAATATTATTCGTTATTCTTATTACAATATTGTGTATATTATATTGATAAACATTCAACAAAGACAAACACAATTGTTTGAACATTCATAAACATTTTTTTGAATTTCTCAGTTAACCATAAAATTGGATATGTATAACAAGAGTTTGTTTTAATATTCTCATTTCAATTATGAACATTATTCTTATTGCAATTTATATCGTGTTAATAACGTTATGTATATTATTCAATTTTAATTGATAAAACAGAATAACAAGATTGTTAGATGAAATATTTGATTCAAGTGTAACTTTGTTGTTATGGTTATCGGTAAAGTAATGTGTGCATCATCATCATCATCATCATCATCATCGGTGACATATAAATTAATTCTATTTGATTATAATTTGAGTGTATATTAATAATATGCGTAACCATGACGGTTGTATCTATCCGTATGTATAAATATATATATTAACGAATTAAGTAAACAATTAAGTATCTTAGATAAAAAAACTATTAACACGGTTGTTAAATAACCTTGTAGAAGACTATTTTCCAAATTGTACGATACCATTTTTTTTATTACTCAAATTTCTTTGCACGTAGTAAAACAAACATAATTGTTTTAGCTGTAATGTATTATAAAGGTCTTTAGAACCTGTAAAGAAGAAGAAACAAAAAAAGAAGAAAGAAAAGAAAAGAAAAAATAAGCCATAACTGTGATGTAATTTAAATGAATTTTTAGTTATAAAAAAAATAATCCTTTTTATATATTATTCAGTATTATTTACAATAATAAAAAGTGTACATATGCGTTTAGAGTTTTGGTATATGGAATAGAAAAATAAGTGTCGTTTTAGATAGAAATAAGGAAAGAAATTTGAATAATCGCTAGGAAATAATTTGATAATGCGGATAGAATGTATTGTAATAAGAACGGCAATCAATGAAGGTCCCAACGTCAGGAAACTCAAACATGGACAATAAATTGAAGTTTTCAGATCGTTTAAAGGCTTTATTGAAAACGGAAGCGCACCAGGATGTTGATCCGTATATTTTTAGTGAACCGGAACCATTTGGTAGCGCAGCATCTGGAAGAAATTGTACAGTAGTTACTAATAAAAGTTCTCAAGTGATGCAAAATTGTAAAAAGAGTAAAGGAAAATGTGTAAAAGAGAGGACAAAATTAACGGCCATACCAAGTGCAGGATATAGAACTGTTGCAGATAGAAGGACAGATTTGAACGTTGATTATGGTATTGGCAGAAGCATAGATCAAAAATATTCTAATATAGTTGAAAGTAAACGACGGCATATAGAAATTTTGCAACGACTGAGGTCAAGGAGATCAAATCGGGACCATACGTTGTTGTATTATCCTAAAGCGGGTGAAGAAATATCAGATAGCGAATCGAGTGGTGACGAAATGACGGTTTATCAACGCCATTGGTTTCCAGGAGACACTAATACAGAATTAAATCGTTCAGCAAGATTATCCCAATTAAGATCTCAGTTAAGACGACGTTTGATACAGTTAAAAAGAAGTGACGCTGACTCTGAAATAATATTACGTGAACGTGCAAAGTGTTTATTGGAAGCTGCTTACAAAGATCCAACATCCACAGCTAAAGCTTTGGGTGATTTGCCGGGAACTAGCAAAATAATAGATGGACCACTTTTGGTTGGTGGACAATGTGGTGCTGAAGGATGTCAACAAATATCTTTACCATGCACTCGTCATTGTTCTCGGCACATTATGTTAAATGGAGATCAACTTTTGTTTGAACATTGCACTGCCAAATTTAGTGACAACACACAGTGTTGCATTCCTGTGTTTGATGTAGCACATGAATTACCGCTTTGTCCTGAACACGCCAGAAAGAGGGATAATTATAATCGTAAGGCTCAAGAATCCAAACCAAAGAAAGCAAGGAAAAAGCCAGCATCTCCTACAATTCCAAGGCCTAAGCCTAAATCAAGGCCAAAGAAGAAGAGGCGACCTCCCGCTAATAAATTAGAGACCAAAGGTACATTAGCGCACGAAGAGAATCATTACCTGAGCCAAATGAACTCTAGTGAAAGTCACATCAAGACGTTGAATAATATGAGCGTTACTCAAGGAAGTTCTAACTCTTCTAACTTAAACTTAGGATTGGGTTTGAGTTCTCTCGGATTAGGAGGAGGTCTGAAAGTCGATATAAGCGATCACGAAGTATTTGCTTCTCTTGATCCATCTGAACACGACTTTGGAAATGTACTCAACACTTTACCTCCAGATGCGTTTAATGATTTATTTATTGGTAATTATTATTATTATTATTATTATTTAATTATAACACAAAAACAATGAAATAGAATAATTATAATAATACTTGTATATTATTATTATTTGTTTAGAAAGTAGAAATGGTGAATATGAACCATCAAGAGAGGAGGAAGAAGAATTGGAAAGAGCGTTAGAAGCGGTTGACAAAGATGTTCGTAATTTAGAAAGAATGGGACAAACACATGGACTTTTAGAGCCAGCTTTACTAGCCCAACTTATGTCAGACATAGCTTCGTAGCCCCAACTACATTAACATTATAACAATAATCAGAAAAATTCGCGTATGTTCCTTATGATGTTGAGAAAGAGAACGAAAACAAGAATGAGAATCAGAACGAGAAAGAGAAAGAAAAAGAGAACAAAATTAAGAAAACAAAGAAAAGAAAGATACTTTTCTTATGGTGTCTGTTGCTGCTGCTGCTACTGTTGGCTGCCGCTGTTATACATGTTAACTCGTGACTTTCACTGACTTCTTATCGTATACAGTTGCACATGTTTACAAGACATTGGCAGGGATCCGATTATACATAATATAGAATGTGAAAGAAGAGAAACGAAAAAAAAAAAATAGTTAAAAAACTTTTACCAATTTAGAATGATGATGGACATTATTAGGTAACACATGGCTAGATTTAAATGTCATGTACGACGTATATACGTGCTTGTAAATGTTTAAGGAATTCCATTATTATTTTCTTTTCTTCTCTTTTTTTTTTTTTTTTTAATTAAATATATAATTAAGAATCGTTCATAGTATTCAATAGTTGTAACATATATTTATGCAGCTTGCTATGAACGTAACACGAAATACTAAATTCTTTTGTTTTTATTTTCCTTTTTTTTTTTCTATTTAAATCAACGAACATTTAATTTTGTGCTAAGAAAAATGACTGTAGTGTAATTCAATGAAATATTTCGTTGAAATTGAAGTTTTTCATTTAAAAATACTTATGAAGAGATAATGCAACAAACGAAATATTACACTTTAATAATTGACACTATCAGCAATCAGGATATTCAATATTATTCTAAATAATGCAAACGATAAAAAAAAAGAAAATATCAAGGTATATATATATATATTCTCTTTTATATATGTCACACACATTTAGAATTTTATTATAATTAGACGTTTATGTATTAATAGAGAGGAGACCTATTTCACGATCATCTATTTTTCTCTTTCCATTTTGTTACATTTTACTTAATTTCTTCATTTCTATTTATATATATATATATTTTATTTTTATCTTCTTTTAGTTTAAAAAAAAAAAAAGAAGAAAACTCTAAACTAATTGTAAGTTAAAATTAAATTGTCATCAATTTACTTTTTACTATCCTCTAAAATGATTCAAAAAAAAAAAAAAAAGAAAGACAAATTTGTGTCGAATAATATCTCATTTCTTGTTATGATTAAAATATAAATGAAGCAAAAAGTAAACGCATTTTTTTAAGTGCGTTCAAATTAAAATTTCCAAAAAATTGTTTCCTTTTTTTCTTCAATTCTTTTTATTTCAATAATTCTTATCGTTACGATCAATTCGACAACAATTTCTATTATCCTTTTGATGTTTTTTTATTCATTATTTTCTTATAAAATATATCTTAAAAAACATCTAGATATAATGTCGACGTCGTATTAAAAAAAAAAAAAAAAAATGAAAACAAAAGGAAAAAAAAAGAAATGATATTTATGTAAAATACACAAGAACATTTTTTATGAAAATTTTCGAGATAGACCCATTTGCATTTGAAATTGTAATTAAGCTATAAATTATTAAATGTTGAAAAATGATCTTAAAACTTATTTGCTATTAAATGTATTCTCATAATTATTCTGTAATCGACATGAAAACTAAGTTTCAAATTGTATTAGTAATTTTGTTCACATGGTATAGCAAATGTGTTACAAAAATCATTCGCATATTTTAATTTATAGTTGTATCAATTTGTAAAATATCAAATTATATTAATGACAAATCTAAGATCTTTTTTTTTGCCAAGTTTTTCGTTTAAACGATCAAGTAATGTTACATTAATATATCAAAAAAAAAAAAAAAATAAACAAAAAATGATCTCTTGATTAGTGTATGAACAAAACTGTTGAATTTTTTTTCTTTTTTTTTTATAAATCATATTCACAAATACACCTTGTACGTATAAAAAACAACAACAACTACAGCTTAAACAGGAATACGACTGAATTTATATTATAAAAGAAGTTACACGATATGTGTTATAAATCTATTGAAACGATTACTCTTTCCTTTTTTTTTTTCTTTTTTTTTCATCGATTGTTTGTTTCACAATCATTCATCGAAGTAATCGTGAATATTAAAAACTAATAATACGTAAAAAACATTATGATCGATACCGTTTACTTTATCCATTTTGTAATATATTCATGTAGACAAAATATTCAGTGATAAGTAGCTGTAAGAAATGAGTAAAAAAACAAAACCGAAGATGATCTGAAAGAGTTTCATTTTTAATACCGTTCATTATATATAAATATATTAATTGTAAAGTTTAATTGCAATTGATATGATGAAAAACAAGACAGACACGCGTTTAGAATTATTTTCATAAATCGAACGAGGAAAAAAAAAACCTAATCATTTTTCTTCTATTCATTATTTTTGGGAATATATAAATATTGTATATAATAATAATAGTAATAATAATAATAATAATAATAATAATAATAATAATAATAATAATAATTTTTTAGTCAAGGCACAGATTCTGACAGTAAGACTAGATTTGCTGCTATTATGAAATATTTAAGAGAGTTATGTACTGCCATTTTACTGCTATTATAAAAAATATCATAACTCGATAGAAAAATAATTTCAAACATAGTTAAATATTTGATCGTAGATTCCATCGTGTCGTGTAAGATGATAGATTAACAAATGATCATAGTTTTAATACATATCGATAATTAAATATGTGATAATTATGAATATGAAAAATTATCACACACATTACAGTTTTTAATAGTTAAATTGCTAAACATTCATCGCTGAATTTAAGTACAAGAAAACAGTTGATATAAATTTTGCTTGAAAGAAATAAATAAAGAATAATAATAATAATAATAATCTAGTTTTTATTATCAAAATCTTAGTGCCAAATATTTGAATAATAAAATAATTTGTTGTCTTTTAAATGTGCGTGTGTCAACTTGTTCGAAAATGAAATATAATTCACAAATTAATGATGTCACATTTTTAAAAAGTAACGTTAGTTTTCAAACAAACGAATTAATTATAAAATTGCATTTGCAAAAAAAGATATTAGTAAAGAAAACTAAATATTTGCAGTACGAATCAGCCCTCTGGTATTGAAAATAAATTAATGTCAACTATTATTATTACGTAGAACATTAGGAATTAAGTATATATATTAATTAATTATTTATGAAAAAAGACAATGCAAAATTGAATCAAAGAAAGAAAGAAAAAGAAAAAATAATGCATTGCTTCTCGAGTGTATCTATATGTGACTCATTGTAAAATATCAACATTATTACTCTTGACTAGACATTATCAATTATAATAAGCATATTTTTTACATTGTCTTAAAATACTCAGTTTATCTGAACCCATTCACTTTTATCCTCTATCGGTGTGATATATAAAAGCATTTTTTAAAGATTAAATATATATATATATGATGTATGTAAATTCATTGGATTTACATAATAGACGGATAACACTTTTTATCAGTATTCTGTTTAATTATATAGGATGTCCTGTAAACTGGTGGTATGGTCTCGTAGTTTTTCTTTTCTTTTTTTTTTTATATTTAACTAGCATAATCATTTTTATTTATTATCACACGTAAAACACAAATTTCGAAGTAATTTTTTGTTAATTTATTTTCAATTACAATTATTATTACGTTGATAATAAATTAGAACTGAATTCTAACAAGTAATTTGATTAAACAATTTTTTTTTTATTTGTAATGCAATCGAATAAGTTAACATAATATTAGTTAAAAAGATTTAATTTACCAAATTACATTTAAGTTGATCTTCATTAGATTTGATTTTTAAGTAATAGAATATGTCGTGATAGAATATGTATCCATTTGTTTACTACGAATTTGTAATTGTCTAATAATCCATTTTTTCTTAGCATCTTCACGAACTTTAGAATATTTTTTAGACAATTCATCTATTTTTTTCGCTTGAAATATTTCTGTCGTTAACATGGATTCTAATCCAAAAGAAGGCATTCTAACAATATTTTCATCATATTCCTGTTAATAATATAAATTCAAATGATATTTTATTTTGTTTCTTACATTCAATCTCTATATGCAAGGAATTGAAAAGTTATTTAGTGTAAATATAATTAAAAAAAAAAAAAAATAAACCATACCGAACTATCTTGTGTTAATTTATCGGATATGCTGATCTTGCTTCTTTCATATTTGAGTTTATCAGATTGTTGATCAATTTTGTCAACATCTTTAGAATTTTCTGATTCAATTAGCATTAACATTAAATCATAATTGGATCTTTCTTGTCCAAGTATGCCTATTTTAATTCCAAGTTTGGGCAACATCTCTTCGTCAATAAGTAATGCGTTATGTAAGTAATCGATTCGTGGATCGCTTTTATCAATGTCTATCATTCCTATATAATAAAATGACAAATTAATTAATTCATACTTATAAATTAAGTTTTATTTTTATTTGTTTTATTTCTATTTATAGATTCATTCAAAATAATATACCATTTATAATATTATTTCATTATCGGATCAAATTCAATCTCTGATACACATTAATATGCATAATACTTACAAATGTATTACCTAATGATAATACTTTGAAATTACATTGAGAATAAATTAAATCCTCTATCAAAGGAGAATTTTTAAGTAATTTTCTTTTAGATTGTATTCGTGGACCATGTAGTACAAAAATATCACTTTCTAACATATCTTTAACGGTGTAACCGGTTCTTCTTTCTGCAGTGTTATAAACTTCAGTTCTAAGTAGTCTATGTAATTCTGATTCTATATAAATACACATATATTAATAAGCATAAGAGAAAGAGAGAGAGAGAGAGAGAGAGAGAGAGAGAGAGAGAGAGAGAGATAGAGAAAAGAGAGTTAAAAACACAATGAAAAATAATATAAAATTGTATTTTGTACTGTAACACAATAGACATATTTTTCATCGGTCATGTTTCTAAGTTAAATATAATTGTGTTTAATAATGTAACATAACTTACCGATTAAGTGAAAGTATTTACGATGTAAAGCTATCCATACAACACGATGAGATATATGAATTAGCACTTCAAATATTCTTAAATCTTTTTCTCCTTGAGACTGTGTCACACTCGCTTTTTTCTTCCCGCTTATCATATGATGATACCTTATGGTGTCCTGACAACCTACTATTAAGTCTGCATACTCTTTACTCAACATACACCGTAAAGTATGTAATTCATCAGCATATTTTATTCTATTCCCACCAGCTAATGGATTAGGAGCCTTTTTTAAAGTAGCTACTCTTTCTTCTGTTAACTTTTCCCATATTTCTATATAATATTGAAAATATATTATAAGAGCTCTTAAAAAATGATCAACGACTGGCAAGTGAAAAAAATTGATAAATTTAACGCTGACTGGACTGGCAAGTAAAAACATTACAAGATCTTTAATATCTTGCAAAATGATAACGTCTGGCTCATTGGGAGCTACTTTACGTAGATAATATTTTTTAAATCTTATCTGTAAAATATTTTCTTATTTTAATATATATCATTATTCACATTTGATTTGATTTATTATCAAATTGTTATTTTTATACTTTTTGACTTGGATTCAACGTTTCATAAAAATTTAAAATCAAATAATCATGAGGACAATAAATTTCTGATGGATCTATTATTTCAGATTTTGTTGCACGTCCTTTTATTTGTTCATCATCTGTTTGTTGTATTCTGCAAAAATATAATATAGAAATGAATTACAAAGATTATTAGAATATAGATAATTAAAAATATTATTTACCCTGGTAATATTAAACCTTCAGTTATTTCATCCCATATAAAGTGTTTGTCATCCATAATTAAATGAATAAGATATTACAAAATAATTATATAAAAATCATTCATATATTTTTAGAGGTTAACACATTGTAAATACAAATAAACTTGACAATAGGGATGATATATTTTTCAAGTTATAAGATAATAAAATTATATTGATTACTAGAAAGTTCAAATGATGTCTATATGTGTCCTTGAACACAACTGATGAGTGCATATACATAGTGTTCCAATATTTTTATTTATAAAATGTTCCCAGTGTATTCTTCATAAAATTTTGTGAACCAAAAAACTGGTACACCTTGTATAAATCTACCTTTTTTTTTTTTAATATTACAGATAGTTTCTATAAATAATTAATGAAATTATTTAAATATTATTAATTAAAAAAACAATTTAAAAAATTTTCTTTTTTATATACGTATATATTCAATTATATTTAAATAAATGAATAATTAATGAATTAATATTATAAATTTATTAACACGTATATCTACAGATAGATATATTTTACATTAAATTTTGTTGATTACGTGGTAAAGGTAAAGAATCTAATATTGGTTTATCTTCTGGAAAAATAGGATCGGACAATGTTTTCCAAAAATCTGCGACAAATGTACGATCCTTTTCCATGGGAGCCAAATGATGGATATTACATCTAACTTTAACTTGTTCACTATTATTAATCGTTACGGTGACATAAAATTGTTTTCCTTCGATGGATAAGTCAGGTCCAGATATTGGTTTTTCTGGCAACGTTATAGCTTCTTCTGGTACATGAAATAATGCTTTACGAAAGGCTACTCTGATGTGCCATTTTTCTAAAGTCCACGGAACTTCTGGTGATAATGAAACGGACAAATTATGAGATGATAACATTGCTATTGTTTTTCTAGTTATCACAGGAAGTTTACATTCCTCTTCGTCACTTTTTACAATATATTTTTGAATATTTTCTTCATTAGCGTATACTCCTAATTTAGGTAAGAGTACATCATTATAAGCTTTCTCAGGTTTTAAAGAAACGATTTGTCCTTTAACACCAATTTTTTTTATATCAGATGTTAATATTAATTGGATTGGTTCGTGTTTTGAAGTATCGACATGCTTTACTAAATCGTAAATAAAATGCCTTGATTTAAGAGGTTTCCTTTTTCCACCCTTTTTACTAAGTAATGGTTTATTCCTTCTTTTTAAAATAAACGTATTCTGCAAATAAATATTATATATTTATAATACATATTAAAATGTAGATTATAAATCATAAAAATAATACCCTTGTTTGTTGATAAAATAAATCTGTGGTATTAATCTGTGACAAGACATTTTTCGTGGTAGTGTTAACAATTGGTTTAATTAATGTTTTTAATTGAGTTGCACAAAAACTTATTGATCTTAACATTTTATTTGATTTTTATTTCATAAAAATTCAATTAGAAAAGTGCATAATTATTTTACAGATTTGAGGTTAGATTTTAATCGATAGTATTTCCCTCTACAGAACAAATTAGGTACCAAGTATTGGTTCGTACACCATCTGGTATTCAAATGAGTAATTAAAATTCTAAACTAACCTTACATGTAAACAAACAAATTGCAATGTAAATTTATTTAATTGTATATTAATAATACGATATGTGATAAATTGCAAATAATATTAACAATAATAAAGTTATTAGTATAAAATACCTTTGTTTATATAACTTATGTGATATGTAAAAAAGAAAGATTATTTACAATGGAAAAAATGAATATACCAAATGAAGAAACTTTGAAAAAGGTTATTTTTGATTTACAAGAACCAGTAGTGTTTAATAATATTTTACAAGATGACAATGGCAAATTTATATGGAAATTATTACAATGGAATTTATCAGAACTCGGTAACAAATTTGGTGATATGAAATTACCATTTCGTGTTGGATATAATTCAAAATCAATGGTATCTTTTATTTCACTTTTTTTTTATATCAATTCATATTTAAAAATTGACATTTATTAGGAAAATATAATTTATATATATTTTATAGCATCCACAATGGGAAAAACAATGTCTTATTGAAACAATGACATTTAATGAATTTTTAGAAAAATCCAATTCTTCTGTAAATAATAATAAATGGTATTACTTTGATTATAAGTATATGCATGAATGGATACAGGATAAGCCTGATTTATTAAATTCCTTAAATTGGCATAGATTTGGTATTGAAAAAGATGGTCACGATTCTACGCTTTGGATTGGAAACAAAGGGGCACACACTAATTGCCATTTTGATTCTTACGGATGTAATTTAGTAGCACAAATTCATGGCAGGTGTATACAAATATCCTATTATAATATATTTTACAATTTTAGTCTTTTTATCCTTAGTTAATCATTTTTTTCGTTTTTCTATAAAATTATAGAAAACAATGGATATTGTTGTCGCCAAATTGTACAAATGAACTTCATCCTACAAGAGTACCATATGAAGAATCAACGATATACAGCGAGTACAATTTTTTTGCTCCGACTATTGCAGAAGAAGAATCGATATTAAAACTTTCAGGAAAAGTTAAATCTATTGTACTTGAAATGGGAGATGTTTTATTAGTTCCAAAAGGTTGGTGGCATTATGTAGAATCCTTGAATTTGACTGTAAGCGTCAATGTATGGTTACCTCTACAGACGGACAATGAATCACGCCTTAAAGAAGCGCTTGTTCAATTAATTATTAACAGAATTGGTAAAAAAGTATGTGACAATCGTGAAGAAACACATTGTTCTCTTTCTGAAAGTATGAAAATTGTAAGTTCACGAACTTAAAATGTAATTATATTACAATTTTATCCTTTCATAGTATTTATATTAATAATATGTTTTTTATTATTATTATTAGTTGGAGAACTCTCTGTTAGAATGTAAAAAGACTGATACAGAAAAGTTGTCAGATAGAAAAAGATTCAAACAAATGGTATGGACTGCTGAGGAATTATCATTAGAATATCCATACTTTGTTAAATTACTTCCTAATTTGGAACGATCAGAATTACAAGATTTATTACAATTGAAAAGGGAAAGATTTTTAACGAACATCGACGAGATACAGGAAACAAATATACCTGCACCCACGACTTCTATTAATAATACACAATTATGCTCTCAATTATCAAAAGACATTGTCAATACATTATGTCATCCAGATATTATTGATAAAGTAGCAGATTTACTTTTAAAAACTCGTTATGGAAATCAATAAAATTGTTAGTCATATATAATGTTTGAATCAATCATTAGCAAATCCATAGACTTTTAAACTACCAGCATCTCTTTTTCTATCGTACGTGTCTTTGTCGTCACAGGCATAAGCAAGTAAATATTGTTTAGGATGCCATGCGACTGTAAATGTAGCAGCTTCAACTGGAATATCAGCAATTTTTTCTCCAGTTTCAACTTCACCAATATCTATAACCAAATCTTCCGATGCTGCTGCTAATAATTGTCCATCGTAAGAAAAAGATATAGTCCTAACTGGCCATTCTAATCTCGAGAAAGTTCTTAAACAACACAATTCATCGGCATCCCATAAAGACACTAAAGCATCTGCAGAACCAGTCGCAAAGTAACGTCCAGTTGGATCAAATTCAATGCATATACATGTTCCTGGATGTGCCTTTATAACATGTAACAATTCTAATTCTGGATAGCTAAGAATATGTACACAGCCTTGTCCGTTGGTTAAATAAAATGTATCCGAATCTTTATTCCATGAGATTTCGTTAACTTCAAAATTGAATTGTTCCTCCGCTCGTATTTTCATAACTCTAGCATCGATGAACGTTACAAGATCCTCCTTGTTTCCAACAGCTATGGTATTACCATCCGGTGACCAAGATATGTTGATATTTTCTCCTCTGGTACTAATATTAGCAGTACACTTTTGAGTTCTTGTATCCCAAATGCGTACTGTTTTATCACCACTTGCAGTTGACAATAATTCTGGACAGAATGCGTGCCAACATAATTGATCAACACTACCACCATGTCCTCTAAAAGTTATTTCTTGTTTCTATAACAAAACAATATATTTATATTAAAATATATCTTCTCTGATGTTAAACATATAAAATAATAAATCTTTTATAATTAATAATAATACTTAAGTGCTTACTAGACGGTCCGGTCCAAGTGAGAATATACAAACAGATTTGTCAAAAGAGCCCGAAGCTAATAATTTTCCATCACAACTCCAACCAACACTGTGTACTTTAGCTGAATGACTTTGTTGTTCTCTAATTTTGTTATGTGATTTAAAATAATTTATTAATTCTTCCACACGTGGATTAAAGTTCGCCATATTTGTTTATAAATTCATTCAGCCAATCGGATGTATACGTGGATCTAAAGCTGCCATATTTGTTTATATATACGTTTCAGCCAATCAAAGATATTCATTGACTCGAATCGACAAAAATCGAAGTTTACCGGTCAAATCACAGTGAAAATTAACCGTTCTGATAATTCTAGTCAATATTAAAGTAAACAAAGTATTCATTATTATTATTATTATTATTAAATCGCATATGTGTATATAAATATTTATATCTATATCTATATCTATATATATACATAAATGTATATATAGGTTAAGATTCTAATTATATTGATTATATATTATTAGGTTAGGAAAGTGTTTTTTTCTAGTTAGTGAACGACCAATCACAAAGAATGAAATAACTCGTTAGTGTTTTCAATCTAAAAGACAAATCATAAGTTGAATTATACGGGTTGGTTGCCTAGGTACCGTCAATACGTGTAATATGTTTTGACGTAAACAAACTTCATTTAGAGAAGTTTCATTGTGTTCGAGAGAATAAAAAGTCATTTGTTTATGACAATTAATAACTTTGATAAGCAATAAAATGACATCACTTGATTTAAGACAACAGAAGCTTGAACAACAGGTGTGACTTAATGACATTTTAAATGATTTTATATATATATATATATATATATATATATA